GGTTGTACGCCTGAAAGCGACGATGTCGGAACTGTAACAACCTTTGACTCCGAATAACCAGATGAATAAGAAACCACGTCGTTTTCAATCGGTCGACGACCTTTAGATTTTCCTTTCACTCGTCCATTGGCTTGTTGGCCGAAAGTGGAAAGACCCGAAGAAGTAATTTTCATTTACCTTCAAGGTTATGTACGCTCTGACAAACTGCGTCCTTTGATCTTGCTTTACGAACAACGCGAAACAGATTATTCCACACGCTATATTATCAACGTTGCTAAACACTACTTCCCTCGCGATGAATGAGAACAGAGTTGATTATCGAATTTAACAAAAATACGTGCAAACAAACATTCATTAAATACGTCGCGACGAATCTGTCTCCCGCGCGAAATGCGCAAAAATGTCGAACATCTATGCACTGCGCATGTCACGAAATTTCTACATGGTGTCCGGCGAATCACAATGGCGGATTCGAAGCGCGGCATATTCGATCACGCCACAAAAATGGAACGAACAATACCGGTTCTCAACTATCCGTGGGTCACGTCTTACCATGGGCAACGATATCCTATTCGAGAGGAAATGGCGAGAAAATCGATGTTCGAATGAAATGAATTTACAAAGTGTCAATTATCCACGCATGCCAACCAGTCTTGTCATCCTCTCTTATTCGCATTGTTCTTACCCGTTGCATGGGCTAGCTCTTCTGCGAACCGGCTCGATGCTGCTCGCAAGAGAGGAAAAGGGAGAAAGATGGAGAATAAAGAGAGAAATACCGTGGGAAAGAGAAAGAGAGAAAATGGCGAGAAGGAAGAAGGGAAACGAGGGGGAGGAAGATAGAAGGGAAAACGAGTCTGCGCCATGCCACGAATGTAATCGTGCCTGTAGTCGACGAAAGATTCACGATCAAGATGCGATCGTAACGTAAGATCGTGCCTAAGAGGATTTCCAAACTCGTCTGAATCAACAAATCCACCGTGGACCTATGTTTTCGCGCAGACCTGGCGACAATTCGACCGTTTCACGACCGGTGCCAACTTTTCGGTATGCCTGTCGGTATGTCGCTATCAAAGGAATTTCACCAACGTCGTTGCTTTCTCCGAACATTTTATATGCGAATCGACTTTTCGTTAGAAATATAAACTCTTCTTCGAGGAGATTCTCGGAACGCACGAGCCACTTTACGCCGTTTCCATGGAACATTCGCGAGATTAAATAATACGAACTCGAATCGACAATGTTACGAGTGACGGTAAAAACGTGGTCGATAATAGATTTATAACACCGGTATTCACATAACGCGATGTTGAAATTCACTCGTATGCAAATCTTTACGAATCGTATAAAAATATTTATTCACTTCGGGTATCGACGAATCACTAGAGGTTATCTGACAACCGAATCCATTACATATAAAAGCGAAATAGTTTCGAGAGTCGAACCTGTCGAGACAGGCCGTATAACTAACCTAACCTCCAAAATAAATAACACGCTTCGACAGCAACGGGTAGCCTGCCTACTCGAATGATCGAAAACATTCGACGTTCTAGAAAATTATCGTTGGAGCGTCCTTGAGACGTACGAAAGAATTTTATTTACAATATCATCGTATAATACATGTATTAAACTGACAGTTCCTCCAATGTCACTTCCAAACGTACAACCAATTGGTAGATCAAGTTTCACGTTACCTGTCACACCGATCGTTCAGTTATCGAACGATATCGCTCGATGGAATCGACCAGTCTTGATGTTCGATTTTTGCGGCGTCTGGAGTCGAGAGTCGAAGAGCGATAGTATATACAGTAAACGAACTGTCGAACCGGAGTCTGCGCGACAAAAACTCAGCTCGAGTGAGCGCGAACGACACGCGCGCTTCCCGCGCACGGAAACGCGCGTCACCTTTGTCCGCGATCGCGTACAACACTCGTTAGAATACACACATTAATCGACAGTACGTGGACGAAAACAACGCGGAACTATAAAACTGAAGAAGGGAAAAAGAGAGAAAAGAACAGAATCTGAATCGACAACGTGCCTTACCTCGCGAGCGGCCGCCGCGACACTGAACGCCGCGGACACCTGTCGCCACTAAGGCGACAGTGGCGCCGCCATGCGGTCAACCCCCTCTCTATTCCGTCTCGTATAAAAAGAGCACCCTGGAACGATGTCGTGTTAGAGGATATTTGTTATTTTTATTATTAGAATTGCACTTACCCTGATTCTATGCTAAAGTTATATAGTAATAACAATCTTATGCTATAACATAATCCGATTTAAACTAATTGTAGGTTATGAATTATTCAAATAACGATTAATACGAAACAACCAATTTTCTACGGCACTGCACCAACATTGATAGCGAAAAACGTATTCTAAAAGGTGAAAGTATACCTGGAAAATATTTCAAGGTCACATCTGTTTTCCTAGTTAATGATGTATTTCTTTGTCTTCGATGGAGCAACTCTATCGGATGTTTGAAGAAACATTAACAAATAGTTATTGTTGGTTTATATGTTGTGAAGAATCAATTCGTTATGTATATATTCATGAGGCAATGTAAACAAAGATCTAATACATTCTACTTTTAAGTGGACTTACCAATGATTCATTATTCCACTGATGCGAAGTTAAATTTAAATGCACGTATCCAAGTAATAATGCCTGGTTCGCATTAAATGTTTTGACCTAATAGTTCTCGCCAGCACATTTGGAGATAATTACAAAGTTACGTCACTATTGCTTCATATATCTAATCGACACTTGAGAAAGTATTAATGCTGTATGTAAACAGAAGCAAAAGAAAACATTGGTTAATAGATATTTTCCATTGCAGATTATGATTCGCACCCGAACGATTTCCTTATAAATAAACAAAAATATGTAAATATGAAATATTGTATGCAAATTTGAACACGAAGATATCACGTATCAACAGAATGACAAGAAAGAATGTTAACAAAACTACTGTTAATAAAACTATAAGAAAAAACTCACACGTTTCCGCGATTTAGGAAAATAAATTACCTCGGTATAGCACGGGAGACGCCACTTAGCAAAAACTAGTGTGCACTTTTTCTCCGTAAAACTACTTCCCAGAGTCGACCAAATTGTGTTCAGAGCAAAAAAGCGAACTAACCACAAGGCAGCTAAATTTTGCAAGGAAACGTCAAGCAGCCGCCGCGGTCGGGAAAAGAATTAGAAAACAGACTGCGTGGCTATTTCCAATAACGACGTCCTGAACAAACCCACGAACACACGTCCACGTCGCGAACGAACTCGTTGCTTCCTTTTCGGCCAAAAACAGGCAATATTGTCGTCAAACAAACTTTATCCAGCCGGTCAGAGTGACCTGTTTTCTATGGAGTCCGTTCAGGCTACCCCCGTCTTTCTTCCCTTCTCTCTTTTTTTCGATTTTCCGCAAAGATAGCCAGGGAACACGAGGCCATTCGGCGGTTCGTTGTTTTCAAGGATGGAAGTTCTCAGAGGTAAAGAGAGGAAGAGAGACGAAGCGTAGCGTGGGGAGCGAGGAGCCAAATGAAACGGCAGGGATGGTAATTGTGCGGTGAAAAAATAATCAGCTGGCGCAGCACGTAGAGCGTAACCGTAAGTGCGGCTGTGCTCATTGTTGTCCCGCTACTACGAGACCCCACGAGGGTGACAAGCTCACAAAAGGGGCTGCTGGACCCATAGAAACGTGATGGGAGGTAGCTCGTGCGGGAGGGTGCCACCGTTGCGATAAAATTCTATAGTGCTCCGGGAAAATATGAGTGACTCGACGACTGGGAACCGAGAAGACAAAGGATTCCTCGTTGTCGTTTTCGTGGTAAGTTAATCCCCTTTTTTTAATCAATACTTTTTGAATTTCGCCTCAGCTGATGACTTTTGTACGTGGCTGGAATAAACATACATTGTTCGTAAATATATTTCCTTTCTATTTTCATGTTCTTTATATTAGTAAGAATGATACTTGACACAGACCATATTGGTCGTTTAACGAATGTGATGGGTGTTACTTTGTTATACGGTTTGTAGATGATGTACCGACCAATGTATTGGATGATTTCGAAACCTATTTCTGTCTGATGTCTTGTATATCTTTGCAGTTTCTTGGATCCATTCCACCTTCAGGTTCTCCTGCAGATCCTCCTTTCTGATAGATCATGGTTTGAGATTTCACGAAGAACTTTGTTTTGGAGTCGCTGAATGTTATCCGAGACGTATACTTTTCCACAGCCCTCGGTGAACATATGTATGAAATTTTCTAATTTTGCTAAACAGTCGAGATAAGTATATATTTTTCCTTAATTTAAATTAGTTCCAATGACGTTTATACCGGTGGAAAAACTTTTATAGAATCGCCGAGACGTAATTGAGAATTCGGTCTGTTTCGAGGAGGACGAAGAAAGTTGCGAGCAAAGGGGAAGTGACTCCAGAAGACCCCTTTGTTGTTAGCACTTTACGTGCAAAACGGAAGGAAAAAAAGGAGGAAAGGGAGTCTGGAGTAAAGGAGGGTCTCTTTTCGCACATCCCTCATGAGAAACAATAATGTCGCGCGCACTACCACTCCTCCTGGATGTCGTCTACCCTCTTCTCGTCTTTGTTCGTCTGGCTTTTTTTTCGAGTACTCGTCCTCCTATCCACGGCCACCTACACACTACTCTCTTTCGGCTACTGATCATGAAAAGAATTGCACGCGAATAGCGAGCGCGAAGAACCGCGTCTCACTTGGAAGCTGAAGAAAAAACGATAGAAACTGAAGTTCTGTCGCTTGTTTCGAGTTCCCTTCCGTTCTCTTGCGCATAACAGCAAAGTGATGAAACTTCAAACCGTGCAGACTGTTCTGCGCGTTACTCAAATTTCCAAAGGAATAATAGAGGAACGCTTTAAATAGAAGGGTAAATGAAAGAATACCATTCGTTTGATAGCACAGCGTCACCTCTAATTTGACGCGAAAAGTAAGAAAAAATTGAAGAGAAAACGTCGTTGCAAAGACTCACCGGAATGTAGCCGTCGGGTTGAGGTCTCTCGTTGTCCCTGAAGAAAATTGCTTAATTACAATCAAGCATCCACGAGTTTCGGAATTCACGTTCGATTATCGACATGAAACGTACCGATGTCGTCGTTGTATCACCGGCGTCTGCGGGGTGCTATCGTGGATGATCACTTGGGTGGCGTCGATCTCTTCGCATTCCGAACTCTCTTCAGCGGAATCTATATTCGGAACATGGACAGATTAATTAATTTATTCCCAGTTTCTTCTAAATTCGTCTACCATATGTTTTAGATCGTTTCCCGCTAACCTAAATTTCCTTTCACCAGGGGAGTTACAATCGCCAAAATCTGTTCCGACGAACTACTCGCTAATCCTATCAGCTCCCCTTCAGTCGTATACGTGACTACGCGTATATGCCTACCCACGATTCAGCACCCATCCGTCGAGCGTGCCACTATTCCCAGAAGGAACGGTGCTATTGATTGTCTTCAAAGGGACACCGTCCTCTCGTTAATAATCCTAGTCTCAAACTACTCTAAATCCGATACTGGTCGCATTCGATATACAATTGGTAATTCGAACAACGCGCGCTCGTGTGTGTGCCTCCGATCGATTCTAAATCACGTTACGTTCGTTCTGAACTCACCCTCGCCTATACGCTCGCGTTTACGGATCCTAGACAAGATAGGGCTTGGACACAAGGTGGTCGTGTCGCCCAGTAGGTCGTCGATGTTGGTGTGCTGGCCGATGAATAGCGGTAACGTAGAGGGTCGTTTCCTTGGAGATGATCTTCGTGGTGATGGCTGTACGTTGTCGTAAGGCGAGTCGCGTCCTCCATAATTGTCTGGTGGATCCGGAGGATTCTCCACCTGCAACATGCACAGACTTTCTTGTAACAAAATAATCTATGACGTTTCTCGGTAATTTTGGATGACAAATTAATTCTGTTGTAGCCAAAGTGGCTGTTAGTATTAGTCTAGAAGTTATTCTTGCAGTGTGAGCAATTATTATTTATGATGTGAGAAAATTATTTATGATGTAGTCCTGTTAAATTTAATTGACCTACACTAAACAATGAAATAAGTTCCCTATTTGAATGGCTGATAATAAAATACAACTAAATCTATTCTATGAGAAGGAAAAAAATACGAAAATTATTCACACAAAAACTCCTACGAATAAAGGGTCTTAATCTATTATGCATAGATGAAGCTAATAGTAGTACCGCATGATAACGAAGCTCACACATTCTTCGTTTCAGAGTCTCTCACGACAGCCACTCGATTTCTTAATCAAGACATTAATTAAGTTAAAGGCTTAATCATAGGAACAACGTTATTCTCTCACCGATGTCAAGCACGCGAGGTTAAAGATTTACGACGTCGCGTATTATCGGGTTGGAGTAGATACAGTCTTGTCAGTTAGGGTCCGTTAAATGAATAATGCACGATATATGATCACTTTACCCCTTCGGGACTGGCGCGATCCCCAAGCGGCTCGTCAGGCGGAGGTGGCGGAAACTCGATAGGGAATCTAGAGAGGCTTCTCTTCGCGTATATCTCAGGTTCAGGGTTAACGCCAATATCGATTCTCTCGAACGATTCGGACGAGTCGGAGGTACTGTTCGATGTTTCCAAGGGAATCTTAACGACGCCCTCAGGAACGTTTGACGAGCTGTCCATCCACCATGGTTTCTCACCGGACTCGACGTGTCTAACTTTGTTTAAATTTCTACTGTATGTCTGACTGTCGTCCACCTCGTCCTTATAGTTATTAATATTCTGCGTAGGAGTTGCAGCGACAGGAATGACTTCGACTCCTTCAGGTACATTTTCAGGATTGTCGCTCATCCACCATGCTTGTTCCCCGGACTGCTGGTGCCTCAGTCGATTTCTTCTCTCGCTGGACCGGGTACTGCAACGACTCGAGTCTCGTTTCGAAATAGGGGACGCTATAGACGATTGTTTCTTCGATTCCTCCGACGGAGTATTATCGTTTGCATCAAACCACCATGCCCTTTCTCCCGATTCTTGACTCCACACGGTCGAACGTGACGGTTTTTTCCCTTCCTCCGAAAGGATACTGTCGTTTCCGTCCAACCAGCGACCCCTATCTCTCGAACCTGCTGAGGAAGATTGTTTCTTCGTTTCCTCCGACGGAGCACTATCATTGGAATCTAACCACCAGGTCTTCTCCCCTGATTCTTGTCTCGAAATCGTCGTCGACTGCTTCCTCGCATCCTCCGAGGCACCGCTGTCGTTCGAGTCTAACCACCAGGCTCGTTCCTCTGATTCTTGTCTCCACACTTTGTATTTAAATTTTCCTGGGAACATACAATTAGGGGAAACGGTTTATCTAAACGAATCAAGCTAATTTACGTTCTGCTTTCAAAGCTGAATGTAACGATGTACAAACGAACTGTACGTTTAAAGAGGCGATTCCAGGTAGATATGTAATTAAGTCGTTTAATGCCATACGAATTACCGTTAATTTATTAGGTACATACCATCTTCAAAATTACGACGAGAAAAAAGTAACGTTTATTTTCCTAAAGCTTTTCATTCACCTTTCCTCCGAATCGTTATAAATTGTGGCAAAATTTATTTTATTTTGAAAACCGTTTTCTCATGAATTTCGGAAAAATAAACAGGCGTCAGATAAAAACAGTTACCACCCAATTCCTTTGCAAAGTTCGCAAACATCTCCCTCGTGCGAATCAAAATAAAAATCCCATTTACCGGAAAATGAAATACAATGATTGCAAGCGTTGACTTACCATCGTCAGGTAAAGTACTGCTGACGGTCGTTTCTTGACTGAAATCGTCGTTGCATACGCTTGCCGTTTCGACACCTTCGGGGACGTTTTCGGAGTTCGGATCCATCCACCAAGGCTGTTCCCCGGAAAAATTTCGTCTGATCCTCACGCTGGACTGTCTTCTGTCGTCGTTCTTCTCCGAGTTCGTGAAGCTAAAGCTCTTCGAGAGACTCTTCGATAAAGGCGCCGTGCCGTGCTGTTCCGACTTCTTCGCGTCAGTGCTCTCTTCGTTGGAATCCAGCCAACCACCTGATTTACCGGACTCGCTGGAATCTTGATGCTTATTCTTGAAAAGATTCGTCACCGGCGCAAGAGCCCTCATCAGGAACGATTTAGCCTCCTCCGTTTTCCCCGAACGATCGCTCCTTGATCTTGGGCTAGACGGTGGTCTGGGTGGTTTGTCCGTCGTCAGAGACATTTCGTCGGCTGACGACGCCAGCACGCTCGTTCTCGACGATCCGGCGCTTATCTTCCCTTTCTTCTCGCAGAAAGGAGACTTCGACGTCCTCCTCTTACGACGTCTCGACCCTGGTCTTGTCTGCTTATTATCATCCTCTTCCTCGCTGCTCGACGAATTCGAAGAATTCGACTCGCTATTTCCGCTGGAACTCGAAGTCCCATCTTGCTTGCTCCTTTTCCCGGATGGCGACTTTGAGCTGCTCCTCGATTTCTCGGGTCTCAATGAACTGCTCGTCTCATTTTTCCTACTGATGCTCTTCGACGACGACGAACTGGACGGTATTCTCAGTCTGGATCTACTCGATTTCACGGAACTCGAGCTCGTTTCCGACGGAACAGCCGGGCAATGGATATTCGGTTCGGAGTTCGGTTCGGACTGCGAATCTTGAGAGCTGACGGACATGCTGCGTTGACTCTTCTTCATCCTGCTGTACTTGGACTGCGATGGATCGCCGTTCTCCATGTTCAACGTCGACTTGCGGAAGTCTTTGTTCACGTACTTGACGGGTACAATGCTCTTGGACGCAGATCCCTGTGTGACGTCGCTCTTCGGCACAGGTGGTTTGCCACGAGCATCCGGCGAACCGCCCTGTCTCAGATTCACTGAGGACACGCTCGAGCACGACGTGGACGACTTCCCTGACGACGGCGGCAGCGTCGCCTTTATTTTTACACCCTGACTCGTCATCGAACTGGCTGACGACGATTTCGATCTGCCAATTGGCACATTTACAGCGGAACCGTCTGACGAGTCGGTCCGCGTCATTTGGCGAGGCAGATTTTTCACAGAACCGCTTCGGGACTGGGGTGTTGTGGATCGGCTTTGCGACGAATTACTGTTTTATTGGAGAAATAAGAAGCATGTGAGAATGTGACTGGTAGCGATGGTGAAGAGGAATCCAAGAAGCGGAATATGGATCTCGTGAAATTAGTTGGTCTCTCAAGGTTGATCGATAATTCCCTGGTGTCATTTGGCTACTCTGATGTATCGTGACGTTTGGGTTCGTTTCTGTCATTTACGTCAATCGTGTGGCGCGATATTGAGAAAGAGATTATTTATACGCAATCGAGGAATTACCTTGAGCGATCAATTAATTTTAAATTGTGGATATAATACATGTAAAATGTCATTGACATCGAGAATACAAAATATTAGAAAAAGATTATTTTACATTTTTGTTAATCTTTTGTCTCACGAATATAAGAAATTAGAAACAAATTTGAAATTATTTTACAACTTTATGCACACCTATCAAATTGAGCAACTACCTTTGGAAAGACTCTTTCGCAGATGAAATGGTATCGCTTTTAAGAGTGGAAACTTCTTTACTCTGTTCCTGGCAATGTCCTTCAACTATCCTAGAGGATTCGTCGAGTTTCGATAGCGAACTAGTATCAGACTTAGGCGTCGAACTTCTCCTCTCCCGCAGTCCATCAGATTTGGTTGATGAACTCGATGATGACTTCGCAACCTTGCCTTCGTTCTTCGTCGCGATACGACCCAATCTTGGTATCGACGGTCTCTTCTGACTGCTACTCTCGCTCTTCGACATCGAACTTTCCCTGCTGCTCTGCTGTTCTTCGCTCTTGGAAACGCTTTCTCGAGAGTCTGACGACTTGGAGACAATACTAGGCTGCTGCGGTGACTCGACCCTCTTTAAGATCGAAGGACTCGCTAAACGACTGCTTTTCCCTTCAGTCTTCCCAACATTGCAAGAACGGGTTTCGCCATTATGCACTTTAACCTCCGTCTGATCCCTATTTGAACTCCCTTGCTCATTAGTTGCAGTCGCTTTCGAATCCGTTTTCGTAACCGCAAAACCCAAACCACCGAACACTTTGGTACCCGGCTCGTTTTGGTTCCTACTCCCGTGAATTTCCTGACTAGAACTGGGTGATACTTTTGAACTAGAATCGTTCCTGGAAGCGTCATTCGGCCTCGAGAACGCGAAGCTGTTTACCCTGGAGTTTGCTGTGCTGCCTCCGTTAAAGCCTCTCGCGTACACGCCACTTCCACTCGAATTAGACGAGAATTTGTCCAGATACGTGGTCCACGGTGCCCCCGAGATTCGTCCACCGCCACCAAATCGTGAAAATCTCGAGCCATCCTCCAGCCTCTCGCTCTGAACCTCCTGGTCCTTGGTCTCCGTTTTCTTTCGAACTCGAGTCACTTCCCTCTGACTCGCGATGCCTATGTCGGCTCTTCTGCTTCTTACGAAGGACGAAGAAGCTGGCGGACTGGGCGACGTGCCCCTCGTGACTATCGTAATGGTCTCATTCTCTTGAAGCCTGTTGTCGACTTTCAATTCTTCTGGCTTTACGTATGTCTCTGGCGTCGTGGCCTTTCCTCTGTTGGATTTAGAAGAGTCTTCGTCCTTCAAATTTGCCGGCATAGGCTTACTGCCTGAAGTTCGGAACCTGTCCGATCCGGAGTAGCTTATAGCTGCCGGGACTCGGTCGCTGCTGCTTCTTGATGAAAGGAACCTGCTACCAGCTGTCGAGCCGAATCTCGAGGAGATTGGCGCCGAGCTCGATTCGGAGGCACCTACGGATATTTTATACCGTTGAGAATCGTTTACCTTTCAATTGCTATAAAATAAATGAATTCAGGAATTTTTAGAAGTGAAAGAATGTAAACGATGATAGGGTTTGAAAAAATATCTGTCGTCACAAATTTAACACCTTAAAATATTAAAGAACAGATATTTCTTAATGTTGAAATAAGTAACAAAGGCAATATCTTCTAGATATCTTCATTTTTTACTTATTCTCACATTCAAAAGAAAATAATTACTGAATAGACTTTTACTGTTTTATGATATATCGTCTGACATTAATGATAATTATATTATTCTAATAATTATTTTTGAACATTATCTACCTTGCTCACAACATTTACGTTCAGACAAAAGATAAAAACAGAATTATTAGATAAAATAGTAGAGTTTCTTTCTCGTTATCATCTTGAACCGTAAATTAATTCAAAACGAGTTACAATTCCATTTCCCGTGAGACACAATGCTTATGAGTACGAAAATTTATAGCTATAAACATCATGTGAAAAGCTTCTTATACTGTTTTACGATCCTCTACAGCATAAAGGAACTGCTATTCGCTGTCCAGCATCGTACCTCGCGCAATATTATAAATGTATAAGTTTAGAATTCATTTAAAGAAATATTACCTGACTAAACTACAGTGTATTTGAATAACCTCTTACTTCTTTACTAGCGAGAAGAATTTATTATCATTTGAACTATTCAGAGACAAGGTGGTAAAACACTGACTTTAGTAGTAAGCAAAAATATATAAGTATACTATCCAATCTCACTCCCCAATCTAAACCTCATACCTAAAGAAAACTATTACCGAATTTTGTAAAGTATTATTAATATACCTGCAAATATTCCAATATACATGTTTAAAAAAATAAATTTCTATATCATTTCAAAGACAAGGATCCATTGCAAAGACACAATTTATATTTCTTCACAGCACCTTCGTTTTAACCTAAATCCATTCTTCCACCATTTCCAACATGGATAGTAAAATCCCATTTTCAACAAAATATAAAAAAAAAAATTCACTCACTAGAAGTGGCACTGGATCGACCATAGGAGGGGGCTCTCGAGTACATTCTGAAGGAGTTCGATTTTCCGACGTTGACTTCCGGGCTAGGTTCGCGGGAACTTCTCCCCGAGTTCGGCCGTAATCCACGGTACGAGACCGGTGGATGATCGGCCCTCTCTTTCTTCTCGATTCTACTTTCGTTTCCATAAGTTCGAGGCAAGCTCGATCCAGGATACGTGTTCGATCCGTATCGCGATACTCCGTCGGCCTCTCTGCTCTTCTCGCGGGAAGTGGCACGGTTATATCTGTCCAAAACGGAGGCGGGCCTCTCCGAAGTTTTAGTAGCTGGAAACGAGTACTTCTCGAACAGGGAGGATCTGCTGCTCGATAATGGACTTTTCGCCCCTACGTCCTCCGTCGACGACCTACTCGGATGCAGTCTACTTTTTTCGACGTCCTTGTTACCTGGAAAAGCAATACACAGTGATATTTTATTTGTCACCTTTTCCCTTTTAGCGAAATTGAACCAGTGAATCTTGTATAAATCTATCCTACTGTTATTACAGACAAATTTAGTATTTTACGTCCATTGATATAATAATCCTTTCCTGATAATAAATATAAAATATATTCTAGTCGAATTTATACTGATATGGATATATATTAATAACCACTTGCAGGATTAAATTTATCGTTATATCAGAACCGCGTTAAGCGAAACTTGGAACTAATACAAGAAGAAAAAGAGTGCAGTGGACACACTTATGCTACATGTAGGTTGTTCGGTAAGCCGCATTAAGTGTTATAAGAATATCGTGTTATAGAAGGATTATCGGAATTTTTTTGGCGTGTTAATGTCGAAAGCGTGTTTTGGAACTACCGTGTTATATGAAACCTAAGTGTACAATTAGCATTAAATCTACCACGGCTTAAATAACCGATTTTTAATTCTTCATTTAAACCTGACTTCCCGACTGTTCTTAGAATATACGTGCGCTGAATTTCTCAACGTCTCTTTTTATTCCTATTCCTTTCACATTCTTAATTTCCCATTTCTTCATGCAGCTACAATCATTCATTAAACCGATCACAGAAGATTTAGCGTTAATGAACTAAATAATGGAAGCTACATTCGTCACGTCCTCAATAGCCAACAATATCCAAAGAACCTGAAACTGCAAAACGAAGACCAATGAGCATAACGAACTACAAATCAACTTACTGGAATATTTGAAAGTAGGTTTCTCGTCGGACTTGTCCTTCTTGAGGAAGGCATTTCCGAATCCAGAAACCCTCTCTTTACCAGGCACACGGCTGGAACCGGAACCAATGGACGACGTGTAGCTGTTCCTGCAACTCGGAAGGCCGCTTCCCGTGGAAGATCTTCCAAAAGTACCCGCGGCGAAGCCAACGTTGGTCCTGGGTCGGTAGGCGCCGCTGTCACCCTGCAAACCGTGAAACATTCCTGATCAGTTCCCTGTCGATTTATCCGCTGCACCGTTACGCGGGACGACGATCGATCGAGGGTGATCGAAAAGCGGGCCGAGTGCCGGAAACGTCGGCCGCTCGATCGGCCGTGGCACGGGCCGCGGAACAATCGGGCTGTGGCGAACTTCGTGCAGCGAACGAAGTGAAATTACCGATCGAGATTGGCCGGCACGCGGCTCGACTTCTTTTTTCACGACAGATTTATGCGTCGCCGCTCCTCGCCGCGATAGAATCGAGTGTCACGCTGCGTTTTATTGCCGAACTGTGGCATCGATTGCGAGACCGGTAAGTAGCACGGTGAATGACAATGGAGTAGCCTGCGTGATGCGAGTCATTCTTTGGGACGTGATGGTGGAAGGTGATTTTGAGAAAGAAGGTTTTTGGCATGACGGTAAAAGTTTTTAAATTATAAGACTCGTATTTCATAGGGCATATCGTGGATTTCGAAGTAGATAAATATAGATACTATGAGTGAATTGTAAATGGATGGTTTGTCAAGTATAGGTACGCGAAATTATTCCTTACTCTATTAGAGACTTGAAAAACTTACACTGAAGCAATTTAACAACAGATGCACATAAAATGGACATAAAATTTAACTCCAAGGAGTGACATAAAAACCACTTGTCTATGTTAGAAGAATATACCTACATAGGTAAATGCTTTCTGAAACTAGATGAAGATGGACCATGCAAGGAGAAAGAACATCTTAGAGAAAGCCGGATGAAGATAATATGCATCACCCACGGATGGTCGTGGTCTAGAAATGAAAATTCGTACAATTAACATAAATTTGGCGAAATGCCCCAAGCTTGAAATAGACCTGTGAGAGGAATAACCTTCCTGTTTCTCTGTAGGATAACGGGTGAGCCAAACAAGGTGCACTCCTCTGGTATTCGAGTTCTACATGGAAATTATTATACATATACCTACTTCTCTCACGCTGTCATGTGCAATCAAAATGATAAATTCTGAGTAAAGCAGGTTTAAATTTCCAAGAAAAGGGATTATAATAGAAGACTGCTAATTATGGAGAACGCTGTTAAAGTAAAATTTCTATACATTCATGTATCTGTAGATCTTAATGATTTTAGGAATTATAATTGCATATTTCCTGTGAGAAAGAAGAGAGAACTTTACAAAATTGTGCATAATTTAATTAAATACGCGTAATTAATTTTCATCGTTGTATTCCTTATCTAAAAAGATAATCCTTGAGTAATTTAAAAAATATTTAGATACCATTTACATATCAGAAATGTCCATAATTATTTTATCCTGAAAGAGAATAAATAGTCATGAACAACGACTCAGGGAATGAGCACCTACAGAGTATACCTATGCCGTGCTTTCACCTTCAACTCCTGGTTCTACATTCTGCGGATGACCGGAATCAAAAGCTATCACTTCAAGGTAATGATTTATCTACAGCATTTTCTACATACACAACTCGTTTGGCATTCGTCCAAAGGAAATTGAATGGAAGTTCAAAGGAAATCATTTTTCACCGCGTGAAACTCGTGTTATCTTTACTTCTTGAAATTTTCATTCCAGGTAAGCAATGTTCACTTTCTCCATTTCTTAGCCTTGAATAATTGTCTTCACTTTTTCAAATACCAATTCGACGCAACTTTGCCAGAGAAATCGTCGAGGAAAGCTCCCAAACGTTCCTAGACTGGAGCTCGTTCCCGTAATTAATTATCTCCTGTCCGAATACAACGTGTAGCTCTAGGTTTATTTTTCGTACAGTTTACAAGTTTCCATGGGAGTTTCGTTTCGAACGCGCAGCCTCGACTCGAACGAGCTTACGCGATACCAAGCCGCGCGATCATAATTTCAATTTAAATTCAATTACATTCTAAAGCTCCGGCATCTTGTGCTATCACGTTCAGATGAGATCCCTCTCGAAAGAGAATGAGAAAGGGGTGAGGGGAGCCTCCGTGCTGGAACTTTTAAAAAGTGCCGTTCGTTATTATGCTAATGCTATTCGGCGGGGGTGATAATGGAATTACAACGGACGCTCCTTAAGACCGCTAAAGCGATTCTTTCCAACGGAAGTGCCGAAAGAGGCCGGAAACGATAACTCCTTTCGATTCGTTCATATCTTCCCTATTATCACGTTTTAGACTCTCTCAACCGCGAAAGCCGACGCTATAATAGTAACATTGAGTAGTCCAGGTGTCGTTTGCGGAAGAACATCTTGGTTACGTGCTATGGGACTTCTTCCTTGTCGAATCGAATCGAATTACCTTGACACGTTGTATCCCAATTTCATATTATTGCAGTAATTTCAGTCTATCGTTTGACCACCAGTCCCGCCATATTGAGATATTCCAATATCATTGTGTGTGTGTGTGTGTGTGTTCTGAACGTTTATGAGCATTTGCTGTTGTTTTCTTCTTGTGTGCATTGATTTTGGAATTTAGTAAAAATATAATAGTATGTTTCCTTCAAATTATATCTTGTGAGAGTATACAGTTTTTAGCATATTTTCCATTGAATGTCCATTACTCCCTGTCGATGAAACTCTGTCAACTTTCACCCTGAAATTTTAGACAAATAGTAATTATTCTACCCTAACTTTTACAACAATATATTCTTTAACGCTCTATCTATTTTATATTCGTCCGATTTCAATGTGGAATCGATACGAAAATTATTTCCTTTACTTCTAGAATTATAAATAAGTATCAGAAGAGTTCCATAATCTGTTCAACGAGAAAACGTAGATTAGAGGTATTCGATGACACCGAAATAGACGATATCGGAATTCCTTCGATCTATATTCGTTACTGACCGAACCACCCAGATGAAACATCAGTTTTCTACCAGCCAGTAGTTCGTTAGTTATCTTAAAATGCTGCCTGGGTACGGTTCCGGGCTGCGCCTTGATGCTCAACTTCGATATTAGTTCAAGAATTCACCATAAACATTTTGGCAAGCAGCCTCAACGGTCTTTGGCTAAATTCAGACGGCAAAGGTTTGCCAAGAAGTCGAACGGGAACCTGTTACGACGTCCATTATCGGCTTTACGGTGGTTTAGTGGATGATCGTGAGGTAAAACGAAGAATCGTTGTTCTGCACCAGTCACGATGAAATTTTTTCGGCGCTTCTTGACTGACAAGTGGAAATATGTTTTAATAATATGCTTATTTCCCTTAAGGTGAAAATTTACATTACATAAAATCTCAAAAGCTGCTCTCTTGGCGAAACCCCACGGCATTTTCTACGATACAAAAGAGATCAGCTTGTAATTCGCATGACTAAGAATTCTGTGTAATCCTACTTAATATTTCATGATACAAGATTCTTCTGAAAAGTGAACTTAAGAATTTGTCGTTCGATTATCTTCTTATTACAAAACACAGATTACGTAAATGTACTGTATTAGAATAGAGACGTCTCTTGATCTTACTATTTGTAAACCTTATGTCACACAAAGACGGTTCCAACCTTCCTCCCAAGAAACGAACTTGACGGCCATCTATTCAAGAACTTCAACAGATGAACATGAAAAACAACTTCTGTTGTCAAACGTGCTTAATGATCTATTCGAAAACTGTGAACGTTCGAGGACATTTGCGAAATACGCTTCTAGATTACCATGCATAATGCTCAAAATTTCACATTCCATTGGCGAAGCGTCAGCAGCAGACGCGCGATAAACTTCCATTTCAATTCGCCAGATTTCTGGAAATTTCCCACAAACTACTTGAAAACTCGCTGGATTCCTGTCCAGGAAGGAAAATAGAGAAAACGTGGTGAAAGTAGAGGACGATCGACGTCGGGTAATTGGACAATTCCAGATTTCTTTATAAAAAAAACGAACAATCCTTTCGAAAAAGAAAACGAACTAAGAAATTCCGAAAGAAGACATAAAAAGTCCTCAAAAGAAGAGGATAAAGACAGAATAAAATGGTTAAACGTGGAAAATTAATACAAATAGCCTTCGAGGGATTTCTAAGCGCGCGTACGACGAAAATCGAACGTAAAGATCGTTTCTGTCCAATTTATCTGAGATCGATAAACGATCCATCAGTTAATCCATCAGAGCAACCACGTTCCATCTCTCTCTTGACGGAAATCCAGGGGTTTCTACCTTCAATTTAGCCTTCGCTTCTCGATATTTCGTCGGCGTGGCGAAAAGCTTTCCATTGGGTCGGTCGAATTGAAAGCAGCTCGGCCAGGAAATCTTTCGATATTGCTTTATCGTCCATAAAAATGGCTGTTTACAGCCTGGCCATCCCTACTAGAATCCTACCACACCAGCTTTCCACCCTTGATCCTGCTTTATCGATAGATAAATCGCACGGCTGCGAATCGGTTGTTCCTCATGCACGTTTTACTGCTGCAAGCTGACTTTTGTTTCACGACTGCATCTCACTTTCCTGTAATTGAATGTTTCCGAGGAAAAGCTGCCTGCTTAAAGGAGAGTCACGCATCGGTGGATAATCGTTTTGATCCGTGGAGTAGAATGGAAGAGTCTGTACCCGCTCAATTGAATGTTGTGCGTGAAATGTTCGCTAGTGGAATAGGTATAGCGGAATAGTTGCTGGAATGAATGTTTAGAATGCAAAATGTTAATTTTGTACCGCATTCTGTGTAATCGTTATATTATTGAAAAGGATACTGTAAATGCTAGATGAAGGAAAATAGTTGTTTGTAGGTTTACAGATACTATTGGTTATATGAATTGGTAACATTGTTTTGATTACATGAAAAATAGGGATATAGTTTATCAAAATACATAGGCATACCTTTTAGGAATAAGCTGGACGAATAATGATGGTAGGGGAAACTGGCGTAAATGTTTGTTAGATATTGAAGAAGGTGCTTGGATCATCATTTTTGATATTTACTTTAAAAGACGAGTTTTCAGCTGCAATATCACACTGCCTGAAAATAAGGTTTCAAATTTAACATTCAAGTTCTTTCATTGTCTCATATCAAATACAAT